GTCCAGATCTCTCTGGCTTCCTCCCAGGAACATGGTCAGGGAGGAGTAGGGCACATGGTAGCACTGGGGAACAGCACAGATCAGACCCCCCTGGCTGCTGCCTTGCCTCCTGCGACCCCCTCATTGCCAAGTACAGGAGACGACGCTGCCTTCCACTGCACCCCTGCACAAGGCAACCCGCTGCCCTCCTCTATCAGGACTTGGCTTCTTTCTTAATCCTCCTCACAGCCAGTGCTGCCCAGACCCTGCTCCAGCCCCGGCACCCAGCGCTCCGAGAGGGCGACGTGCAGCAGGGGCAGCCCCAGGTCGCCTGCTCCTTACGGTCATGCACGTCTGGAAGAGGCTGTACGTGAGCAGGTACCACAGGAACTTCAGGGAGCCGGCGGTGGCGTCGGGGAGCGGGGCCCACATCAAGCAGTAGCAGAGCACCCCGGGCGGCGCGGAGCACGCGATCCTGCGGAGGAAGCGGCGCGGAGGAAGCCGAGCTGCTCCGCTCGGCGCCTCCCCCGGCCTCCAAACCGCAGCTCAACCCTGCTAAACCACAGCTAAGCCCCACGAGGCCGAGGGCTGCAGGAGGAAGGAGTCTGCTCAAGCAAGTGCCCGTCTGCCAGGCTGCAGGTGGGGGTCAAATGAAACACTGGGACAAAAACAAGTGGCTAAGTTGTCCCAAATGGCTTATTCTCTTATTTTAAATACTTCAAGTCCCAGCCCTGCAGCAGAGCCTCGTGGGCAGCAGTAATGCTCCAAGTACAGGATTTGCCCATAGTTGGAGACTGCTGGAGAGCTCCTGGCGCCGTTGTTTGTGCCTGGCAGCTCATGAAGATTTGGACAATTCTGGAGCACCAAACTCCACAGCCCTGGGTAGGAAAGAACTCAAGGAAACAGCAAGTGTTGGGAATGGTCTCCCCCTCTTTCATTACTGTGCCATCTGGACCCCACTGCAAGCCACGCTACGAGGATCCCAACTGTCTCCCCATGTTAACACGGGAGGAATTTGAGCCCCACGCAGACCCCGCTGAGGCTCTGGCTCGGACACGCACCATGGCACCAGCTTGCCGTATTTTCTCCTCGGGCTCTTGCTGACTAGGAAGCCAACAGCAGGGTCAGTAACTGCATCCCAGGCTCTTCCAAGGAAGAGGATCAGAGAGGCATGGAATGGCTTCAGCTGGGGGAGAAACAGAAGCCACAGCTCCATGGAGAAAGAAGTGCTGGTGGGAAGCTGGGAGCAGTGAGCTCCATGCAGTTTGCTCTAGGCAGTATTTCAGCTGCATCCCCTGGGGACCACCCAAAGACTTGAAATGACCCAGAAACATCTCTATAACCATGAGTTGTGCCAGGTTTGGCACCTAATTCCGATGAGCATTTCCAAGGGCTTCGGCCGCCCAGTTCATGCAAAGCAAATTCCCCCCGTCTCTCATGGCCACTCACCTGCACAACATCCAGAAGGAAGATTTGGAGGAAAAACCCCAGGACGTTTCCCGTCATCTGGTAGGGAATGCCACCAACGGCGTAGCAGAGCTTTGTGCGGAACGGCACCGCGGGCCCCTCCTGGAAGCGAGAGGCCGAGGACGCGCTGCGCTGGGAACGGATCCCGGCCCTGCGCCAGGCCTCGCTCCTC